TTCCGCGGCTCTGCGGATGGACAGAAGCAGACAGACGTACAAAGGGAGCCCAGTGCGTTTCAGACCCGTGCGAAAAGCTTTTAAATGTTGTTGTGTGAGATTCTATAAAAATACGTGCACGGTTCATTCATTTTTCCACTTATTACAGTATGGTTCAAAGCCCTGAATGGGGACTCAAACACATGCCATAGTTAACACAGTTAACAGAGTTATTCTCTTTAACACAGATCATGTTTCTCATTTTTTATTACTTCATTTAGATTTTCCAACAATTTGTTGTGTTTTTCCTATAAATAATTTGCAGTAAATTGTGCTCATTAAGATTTTTCCATCTTTTGTTATACCAATTCTTTTGTGCTAACAGCTACTTATTATAGAGAAATGGCTTTGTTGCTGTTGTTTGTAATAAAGTGCCCTAAATGTGGGACATCCTCTCCTGCCCATGTCTGTTTATTGTCAGCCTCCTGCTTCAGACTCCCTTTCTCACATCCTCCAATGTGGCAGATTCTTTCATCCGGTGCTCCTTCACCAAGGCCTGTCCGTTCCGATTACATTATGTACAAACAAACACGCGGTACACAGCCCCTTTGAGTCCTCATTGATTCCGCTTTCACCTCCAGCATGTTCCCAGAGCATTCCGCGCATACTTCCTGGTGGCTTTCGCCTCGGCTCTCTTGGGAATGCAAATTGTGTTTCGGAAAGTAAATACTATATCAATTAGGCATCAGCTCTTAAAACAATGGCACCCATTGAACGAGGCATGTCAGAAGCCGGACAAGAGGGCGTCCTTTCTGTCAGAGAGACTGGTGCACCCAGGTTCACACTCTGTGAAGCATATTCAGTTGATTAAACAAAAATCTATTTAATTGTAATTATGTGGGACCTACTTCCCACATCTAGTTCATTTGATACAAAATGGCATTAAACCTGTGTGGCGGAAGGCCACCACAATTGATTCGATTATTGTGTGGCTTTGGAAGCTGTACATTCTGAGAGAAATGTTTGCAGTGACTCAACCGGTGTTGACAACATAGACATGATAAAACACAGCGAAACAAGAGCCCAGAGTTTACGGCCAAACTGAACTGAAAAGAGGCTTTTAAGATGTGGGTCTTCAAACAGTAGGCGCTCGTTGATCTCGCATACTCTGAGAACTAAGACAGGAGCTTCGCTGGAATAGGGCGGATAATATGCAACCTGGAAGACATGAGTCTTGGTGTGCAAACATGTCCGACACTTTCTGTCACACTCCTTTCCAGTGGCGGTTAATTTAATGACGAATCTCTCGTCCAGATGAAGACAATAAAAAAAAGCCCAGGCTCACAGCAACATCCTCTGTCCATGTGTGTTTGACTTTTCACACAATAGAAAATGACTTGAAATTAAAAAAATAAAAAGTTGTTAATTTTATATGATTCTTCAGTATGTGAGTGGAGCTGTCATGTATACAGCCGTGGAAAAAAATTGAGAGTCCGCAGCACAATTTTTGTCTCACTCCTTTCTCAGTTTATGGGTGTGCGTCTGTGAATAATATATATATATATTTAGCAAACTCCAGCCTGGCTCTTCCCTGCTTCTCATTAATGAAGAGCTTCTTCCTCGCTTTATGGGACTTCAGTCCTATTTGTAGGAGCCTGATACGACCTGCCCTAGCAGTGCACTTCACACCTGCACTTAATGTTTCCCATTCCTTCTGAAGGTCACTTGATGTCATGCTACCATTCATCAGAAACTGTCAAATAAGTTAAGTCATCTCTGGCATTAGACTGTCGCTCCCGCACTTTACCTGGCTGGTTTCTGGTCTTTGAAATTCTTTGAAGTCTTAGAAATTTTGAACCTGGAAGCAGCCTGCTGCTCAGTCCAGCCTTCTGCCAGCAGAACCAGGATTAAACCAGGATTTAAAAATGCAGATTTGTTTAAATATACGGAGTGGTCTCTTAATTTTTTCCATGGCTGCATATTACAATGTCCCCACAATTTGATGAAAACCTATTATTTTTACCTTGTCCAGACCATTTTTTCAGTCCCCACAAGAAAAAACTGAAAAATGCCAAAAGTATTGTATTTTGTTTGACTACTTATGGTTAAGGTTAGGGCTGGGTAGGGGTTAAGGTCATCATTATTAGGATTTGGGTTCTGTCCATAGAAATTAAAGTCCCCACAAAAATATAGATTCCTAATCTGTGTGTGTGAGAGAGAGAGTATGTGTGTGTGTGCATGTAATGCAATACAAGTGCCAATTGGATAGGTTCGCCTTGCAGTCAGCCAGTAACAGAGCCTCAGCACAGACTATTTCTCTACTGCAGCTGTTCTTTCGGCTTTTTGAGCGAAGGATGTAAGTCGCCCACTAACACGACAGACCTGGGGACATAGAGCTCCCTCTCGGTGCTGTTCAGAGCTCTGTCCTTTCCCACAGGCTCGGATGAAACCTCACCCCNCCCCGCCTTGCCACCAGTCCCTGGCTCCCGCCTCGATCTCGGCCGCTGCCCGTGGCTGCACCGTTTGTCTCTGGCACAGGCGCCTCTGTTGGCATAACCCTTGCCTTCCCCCCTCATCCTCATTCTCTCCCACGGGGCCTCAGCTGTAATGTATCACTGACAAAACCCCATTTCCCATTACTCCCCCCGCTCCCCACCGGGTTACAGTTGGCATCTCCCCCGGGTGACACGAATAATCTACCCTCACTTTCTGTGCAGATTCTCAGGCCAGCATTCACCCGCTTTCCCCGATGCACACAGCTGTTATGTCGCACGCCGACTGGAGCCTCCCCGACTCCAGGAATGCTGCCCGTCGCACGGCGTATCAAAGGCCGGCGTATTCTGTGACGTGGCTTGGCCGCAGTCTCCGGGTCACTGCCCCTCGCAGCATCTCTTGTGTGTTCTGGCTGCTGAACCCCCTCCCCCCGCCCCACACCTCCATTCAGACTCACCCGGCGGTTTCCTTGTTGTGCCGAACAAAGTATTTAAAAGGCTTCTGGTTTCATTCAGTCAGGAGGAGAGCAATGCAAGGATCTGTTACACCACCCAACACTGTGGGTCCCAGTGCCCAAAGATCACCATGGCTGTCGCTGTGCAGGCCTTTAAATCATGTTCTTCTGAGTTTTCGTTCCGTTAGCCGTTACAGAGGACAAAAAGTGCACTGTTCCGTAGAAGAATAAAGCTGTTAGTCTTTTATTCTCTAAATTGGATGTGGGATCAATGTGAGGCTCAGAAACTCTTTGGATTTGGCCTCCAAAGCTCTCTATCTGCTGCCTGCTTCTCCTCTGAGGTAGGAGCGCCACCTGGTGGCGAAACATGGTCCCCAATAAAACTCTTGGTGCTGAAGGTTGATTGACTTTACACAACTGGGCCTAACAACCCTTCCATCTTCCAAATGCATATCTTGGTCAGATTTGCAGGTATGTGTGTGTAGGGGACGCTGTCCACAAATCTCCTTGCAAGACCCTCATCCAGAGCCTTCTTAGCCTCTAGGTCCCTGGCTTGCTGGTCCATGTATTCCTGAGAGATAATGGTGTGTGTATGCAGCAGGGGTGCTGAGGACTATCTCAGCATAATAATTATGGCAGAAAGAGGTTCTGTAACAACACTTTTCTAAATACTGCAATTCCTCAAATTTTGTCAGTAACATGACTTTAAACTAATACAGCAACTTGCACTGTTCATGGTCAGAAAAATCTTAAATCTAGATATATTTATATAGTCTTCCTATAGAATTAGGCATAGATATACTGACATGGATCGTGTGTATGGGCAGTTTAATTGGATGCCACGCCCCTTCTGATACATGCAGGACACTGTAAAAGCATGGAACTATCCCCATGAAACCTCATTTGAAAACTACATAGCCTGACAAACTTTAAGGTTTAAAGGTCTGAAGAGTAAACACATTTAACCAGATAAGCGGATAAAAGATGAATGGATGGATGGATGAGAAAAAGATGAAAACTATTCCCAAGCGATACAGGGAAATGTTAATGGTCTGGCAATAGCGACTGCCAAAACATCTGCAACAACATCTTTTCTGTCTCATCAAAGCACAGCAGGCACCCACACTAATGTCAAGGGTGTTACAAGATTTCAAAGAGTCTTAAAGAGAGACCATACATCACTGTTCTCTCCAGTGCTGGCTACGTAAACAGACTACATCCTTTTAGGTACAGACCGCTTAGCTTTTAATATTCAGTTTTATGCAGTTTTTGGCAGTTAAAGAAAATTATGTTTAAAGTCATGTTGGTGCAAAATTATGATTTTCTCTGTGAAAGTGTGTTAACTCAGCCATTTCAAAACCTCTCCTAAGGTCACCCTAGTATTTACAATAACCACCCAATGTACCCATGTTTTTGTTGACTTACACAGTAGTATTAAATGGTTGCCTCATAAAATTATTTAATTAGGTTAGCTAATTGAGCGAGCTGGTAATGAAATTTAACATATACATGGAATGGCTGGGGTGCTCCTGAGGAGAGGTTTGGGAACCAGAGCTGTGTTCTTCAAGTCATACAACAAGATATCAGTAACCTTATGGAGAACAGAGAAAAATTCTTGTTGATTTTTATAGTGTTTCTGTTCATTTGTATATCTTATAATCAGAGGCGATCCTAGGGTCTGTTGGGGCCCCAAGCAAAAATTCACAGGGGCCCCCCCTCTAACCAGTTTTTTTCATCATTTTAATAAATAATCTGACATTAACAAAAAATTGTGAACAGTAAACTTGGGGGCCCCAAGCAGCTGCCTGCCCTGCCTGCTGACAAGATGCGCCTCTGATTATAATTTTAAATTATGTTTTTTTCTCAGCAAATATACACTTACTCCCAAGATAAATAGCTTTGAACAATTCCTTTGACTGCCTAAGACTTTTGTAGCCTGTGTGCCTGTAATTACAAGGCCCCTGGTTCAAACCCAGCCTCGGCACGTCTGCGGGTCCCTGAGCAAGGCCCTTAACCCCCAGCTCCCTGGGCGCCCCAACGGATGGCTGCCCTTCGTGGACAACTTACTCCACAAAGAGCAAGTTGAGGGAGGCATAAAGACAATTTCCCCACGGGGATTAATAAAAGTATCGATTATTATTATTATTATTATTACAGTGCTGTGTTTCATGATAAATGGCAGCCGGTCTTGATACCCTGAATAAAATAACGATATGTCAGATTTATATTTCCTTTCTAATTATGTTTGGAGGCATGTGCTGGATATGATCTATAACTGGTTTGGTGCTGCAGATGATGCTGGTCCAGTCAGATCTCATGACTAGTGCTTCTCTTTGAGTGATGCCCAGGGTCGCTTTTAGGCTCAACTGCACTGCGAGGACGGCTTCCTTTTGTGTCCAGCAGGTGGCGCAAGTGCGTGATCTCCTCTTTGTACCTGGAGAAGATGCAGGCATCAGATAAGCATTTAACTTGTGTTTTTCCCGACTTCCTCCTTCAGAGGTTCACAAAGGTTTACAGAATTAACAGAAATAGTAACAAATATAATAACTGCTTGATAAAACATGCATCACCATTCATTAATGATGAATTAACATGAGATCAGTATGTAACTAAGACTTAGTTTGTGGTTAATTAATGCATAAGTAATAGTATAATACCATATTTGTGCCCCGTCAAATAAAGTGTTACCAGAACAATTACTTGTCACTGGGGCTGTACCTTCAAGGGTCTGCCAGTTGTACCCTTAGCTGTAGGTAAATGTACCTTTTAAGGTACAGAAATGGACTCTGGGGGACATTTTTGTATCATTGAGGGTACTTAATTGTTGTTTGTACCTCAGGGTACAAAACCTCACCAGGGCGGTACCCTTTTTTCTGACAGCACACTGTGTCATGCAGGGGCAGGCGACAGTCATCACCTGCCCAGGTGCTTATCCACATACTCCTGCAGTTCTGACAGCTGGCCCTCGGCCACTGCAGCCCGGGTGAGAAGCTGGGCCCGCTCCCTCTCCTGAACCTCCTGTTAAGGACCAGTAGCTTCAGGTCTGTGTCAACAGAATTCTTCCAACACTCATCTGCTGGTGCAGTGCAAAAGAGAACTAAACTATTTTAGTAGGTCAGTAATCACCAGCGTGGAATGTACAAAATCCTTCAGTTCCTTCCTGATATCAGTCCACATCTCCTCTGAGGTGTTCCTTGGATTTCCCGACCTTGTGTTAAGAGAAAACTTATAATTAACCGTTATAATTAATAATGATCTCTCATAATTAATACGTTATTCTTAAGGTTGCCAAGGTCAATCTTTGGTCTTTAGTCTGAATCTTCTGAACGTGAGCTATCATGGACATGTGGTCTGTCACAGGGCTGTATAAAACAATCTGGACTGGAGCTCTTGTGGACCTCTAGGATCCCTGCCCTGACGTGCTACATACTGTGCTGATTTTCTAGGTGCAAAGACTGATGAAAGTCAGCAAAAATAAAATAATGATGCAGATACGTACTCCAGCAAACTGACACTGCGAAGGGTACTCTGAAAAACAAACAAAATCACAGGAATTACTCTACATTGTAGAATGAAAACGGAGTAACCAAAAAATACTCATTAGAACAGTTACATTTGATGTCTAACATCTTTTTTGCAGTGCAGGAAGGGTGAAGTACTGAACAGGGCTGGAAGGAGCTGCTATTTGTGTGCTGACCCCACAACTAGCATTAAGCTCACTGCAAGAGTGTTGGTAGCATGTGCTTCCTGTTAGCTCAGTGAATAGGAACACACTGTGCTTATAGACCTGCACCTGCTCCAACGCGTCCCTTAGCTGGTGCTCCAGCCTGGCCTTGTCTTCCCGCAGCCTCTGCAGCTCCTGGCCCTGGTCTGTCCGCAGCTCGCCGTCTAACAGGCAGAAGTGTGACTCGGGTGGTCCCGGGACCAGGCCACGGTCGGCAAGAGCAAGAATCTGCTCCCTTTGCATTCTGGGAGGAGCCAAAGCAGAGACAACTGTCAAGTGCTTTGGAGAGTGAGAGGTAGATGCCCTCTGATGAAGTATGAGTTGTATAGGTGCTGCTGACTGGAACAGCGATGCAGAGGGCCTGCCTGTACTCGACGAGCAGCGCCTCGTGGCCTCGGGTGGTTTGCCGCAGCCTCTTCTTGTACATGCGGGCAGCACTGGCCAGCTGCTCCTCACGGGACCTGTAAGAAGTCTTCACATCTTGCAGCACGCTGTTCACAAACCTCCTTGTATGCCCCTCATCTGGAGCCTTCTCAGCCTCTCGATTCCTGCTCTGCTGGTCCAGGTGTTCCTGGGAAAGAGTGGTCTCAGTAGTGTGTGTGTGTGTGTGTGTGTGTGTGTGTGTGTGTGCCCAACACATCAAGCCAAACACAAACCACAGCTTGAAGTCAGCCGGCACGTTCACTCACAGCAAAATCCTGCAGGTAGCGCTGCAGCCGCGCCCGGTACTCTTCATTCAACTCCTTCACCTGCAGCTGCAGCCTGGAGTTCTCCATCTCCACCTCCTTTAGCTGATTCTGTGAGCTAAGCAGAGCCTAGTTTACGGGACCGAAACAGAAGTGCTCTTATACTTAACCTGCAAGCCCATTACATTGAAGTCAGCCGGACTGAAGCTCTATATCCAATGCAGTTATCTATGGCTACATTTACATTACAAGCCTCATTGTTCAATTCTGATTTTTTGCTCAGATCAGATTTGTCTATCTTGACGGGTCACATTCATAATGACAAGTGACCTACCATATATGTAACTGTAAAGTGAATGGACCTCCGAAACAGCACATATACACACACTGATACGTTTTGCATGACCATGACTGCTACACTGATTCAAGTCTTTTGCCTCCTTGAACTTAAGATTCTTTATTTTTCTTCCTTCATTGGCAATTGTTTCAAAAATTACTTGATTTCAATAGGTTCCTCCTAGTTTTCCTTGAAGTGATTAATTTCCCCAAATATCTATTAAATCGCCAATTTTGTCACAGCTTTTGACTTTTGTCACAGCTACAGCTCTCCTCTATTGTTTTGCCACAGTGCCAGTGCTGGCTGATGATGACACATGCATACAGGCAAAAAACCACATGAATTCCAGTCTGACCATTCTCATTCATGTCTCATAGTATGAATTAGATATATATCCAATCTAAGACCACATATGAACATGACTCAAATCTGATTTTAAATGATCGTATTTCTACATCCACACAGCCCTGAAAACATTTGTGCCACATTAAGGCAAAAAAATCGGATCTGAATCACGTCAGTGTCCTATTGTGAATGTAGCGTACGTCTTTGTAACTATAATCATACTCAATAATTTATTCATTCAGAATACAGATGTCTCCTAGATGCTGAAGTAACAAAGTCTACAGGGATAATGTACAAAAGACCATAGCCTCACCACAGTCTGCTTGGACAGCTGGTGTTGGATATTGTGGACGGTTTGTTTGTTCTCCTGTTGCTCCTTGCTCATGGCCATCCTGATAGGCCAAGTAAGAGAAACACTTTACCAGACCTAAGCCTTGATGGTTAATGCCATTCATGTCAAAAGCTTGTCCAGGTTAAAACCTCGAGTGGTTTGAAACAAAACAAAAAAAGGCTCACATTTTGTCCTCTAGGTGGCGCTGCTGCCCTTCATAGTGCTGCTTCATTCTCTCCAGCTCTTCTTTGAGTTCCTCTTGCTTTCTAAGGAGCTGTCAGGAAGGTGAGTTATAGAGAACAGTGGGCAACTTCTCTGCACGAACCACACCAAATGCAACTCCAACTAATACTCCTGTTTCAGCCGGTCTGCAAGTAACATTTTCAGCTGGTCTATTGTGCTCTACATCCTAGTATATAGTTCTACAATCTTGAGTCTGGCTATATATTTATAATAATTAGCCCAAGGCAGGAACCAACTCTGGTTGCAGCGCCAGCCCATCACAGGTGCATAGTCACTCACTTTGACATACAATTTAGGCACTCTAATTCACTCCCACCAAAGTTCAGGAACCAGGACCTTTTTTCGTTCCTGGCCACATTTGTGTGTTGCTTTCCCACCGCATAACAAGAACTGTGATATTTTTAGTAAATATGCATGGGAGATGCAAAAAGCTTGCAAGTTAAATTCCACAAGTAATTTCATGCATAACAACATCGCTACCTCTGCAATAGAGGATGAAGAAGTTGTTTTGACTAGCAGATTGATCTTTCATTTTCCACAGAATAAAAAATTATGTAATGTTATTCCACTAATAAGCACTAAAAATGCCACCGTCGAAACCTGCGATATTACACAGAAGTATGTCGGTTATGGGTCGAATAAGCCCCATCCTAGGAGCTCTTGGTCGAGCAAAGAGGACCTACTCTTTATAGTAGGGACTAAAAAATAGTTCAGGAAATAGCTACAAGGAACTGTAGCTATATGTCGCCCACTGCATATTGCAGAGTAAACAAGAAGGCAAATATAAAACTATGTTTTTCTATAACTGGGTAACTGAATTTTTATAAAGTAGTTATGATAGAATTACACGCAGGTTCTGAGCCAGATGGACATCGGGGGGGGGGGGGGGCACACTGGTCTTCTGTATTCTGAATATTTAAAGATGTGAGTTTTGTATTACATAAAGGACAGGATGTAGCAAAACCATACGAGTACAGAGGAAATAATTCTGGGGTGGCCAGTTTACCCGGCAGGTCTCTGTGTCTCTTCTCTTTGCATTTCTCTTTTATTTTGTCTTTTTAGACTTCAGTATATTATCTTTGGACTACTGGCTACTTGCGACTGAATGTGTGCTTATGGTAAGGGTGGAACTATCTGAGTGAAGCCAGTGATGATATGAAATATACATAAAAAAAAGAGACTTACTTTTTCCTCTAGGATTTTCCGCTCCTGCTCTGACACCATAAGCTCATCTGGCTGCATGGAAAGCATCACAAGTCATTCACAGATGTTTAAAACGTGGCCGCTTGTTTAGTCAGTTTGTGCTTAAATTGACTGATGGGTCTGACAGCTACTACGAAGTTTTAAGCTCTCGGTGATGCTCAACAAACACACGCTCACACCTTGAGCCTGTGCTGGGACATCCTGCTGACCAGCTCTCGAACCCTGTCCAGCTCGGCGGCAGCCTCCCTGCCTGGCATCCGCTGAGCCCGGCCCTCGCTCCGCTTGAGTAGGGTATCCTGTGCTTGTGCAAGCTCCAGCAGCTCCTCACTCAGCTCCTGGTTCCGCGAGACCTCCCTGTCGTGCTCCTCCGTCAGGGCCAGGTAGTTGCTCTTCAGGGTGACGTACTCATCAACCAGCTCCTTGTGATTCTTCTCAGCTGCGTGCAGGCAACCCTTGGCGTACTGGGTTTCCCTCTGAGACCTGTCCTTCTCCACCTCCAGCTCCATCAACCGATTCTCCAAAAACAAAATCTGAGGAGGAGAGTAAATGACACTAAAACAGAACAACAGCAACGACTTCCTTTTATGAAACCCATATAAATGGTTTAATTTTGCATTTTGACCATTGAAACCTCACCTTATTTTTCAGCTCATAAGCCTCTGCTTCATAACGTTCCTTCATTTTGTTAGTCTGTATCTGTACCTCAATTACATCCTTTGACATCTAAAAGGAATACAATAGATAAAGAAATTAATTCCCTGGTTATCCTAGGATCCTGGGAGAAACCAGTCCAACCAGCCAGTGGCTGAGCAGCAGCTCACTTTCTGAAAGAAAATCACCAGCCAGTCTTAAAACAATTGTTCTTTTATGGAACCATACTTTTAATTTTTCTTCCTCACTGAAGATGAGCTTCGTGGACAGTTCAGCTTTGGACCCAGCTGTCTCATCCAGCTTACTCTGTATCGCCCCCAGCTGAGCAGAGACGCTTTCATTCTTGTCCCGGAGCTGAATCTTGAAACAAAATTAGATAGATAGATAGATAGATAGACAGACAGACAGACAGACAGACAATATAAAATAAGTTTCTCTGTTTGGATCCCCCAACTACAGTCAATAAAGCTTCATTAAGTATAAGTGTGATACGGAGAGTCGAATAATATTTCAGTTAAGAATTTAGATAGAACATTTCGGATAGATTCTTATGCAGGAATTGTTGATGTTTAATGCCTGTTACTAAAAAAAATACACAAGAAAACACTGTTTAAAAGTTTTCTTTTTTGAAGACATCGGGGAAACGACTTAGGCATTCGCATTCCTGGATAATCAATATGTATTAATATAGCAGAAAAACAAGATAGTTAAATGTGGATAAATATTAGGACACATAATTTGTGTAACATTGAAAGCATTCTCACGCGTTAAGTTCAATAACATTATAACAATCCTATTATTCGATAATATTCGTGAAAAAAGTGGGAAAAAACACGGGAGGCTTACGTTTTCATCTGTTAAGTGACGATCACGATCCTGAAGTTGGCTTTTTAAATTTTCCTGGATGTCCATGTCCTGCTTTGTGTAAGCTTAGATGTATTACCTACCCGGGGAGCGGTGTTTCTAAAAACAAAACGGGCGTTGCTAAGAGCCCCCAAACTCGTCTGCGGCATTACCCAGCTTAGCATGCGATATCAGCACGCCTACCTGTTTGTAAGCGTTAACAGCACTTAAATGTACTTCTCTTCGAGACATTCACTACATTGTTTTGGTATTTTAATGTTTTTTTTTTTTTTTTTGAAAGAAAAAAAAAATCTTTGTCTAAATAGTGCAATTGTGCGACGAAAAATGTCACGGACATGTTAGTTAAAAACGGAACCTTTTTTCTCAATCGACACGTTTGTTAATATAAGGACAGGTTAACGATCCCTGCCCACTCAACATAACCAAAATGGTACCAGCTGTCAGATTTGTTTTGGCTCTGACCAGGGGTGTCAGAAAATAGGGGGAACACGTCCACCCCAATATCGGCAGACCCCACCTACCCTTCCAAACAATAAGACCATATTCATTATGTTTTATTATGAATCTACACATGCAAAGCACAAGGATGAAATGTACCTAACGAAGACTGTACCTCTACCTGGGCCGTCCGTAATTCATGCCAGGCCTTCTGTCCCCTGGTTCCTGAGACAAGCCATCCAACACAGCTGGAAACAGGGAAACAGAGTGACTTGGGCTGCAGACTGGATGGAGGGCCAGGATGAAATCAAACAGAAGTCTCAATTATTTTGAAGAGGTCTGTAAAACCCCAAACCGGGAACCTCAAAGGGACAAGAACAAAACCCAAGATACTGGAACCCCAGAACCCCAGTTTGCCAGCAGCACAGCTTACCGGCTGCAGAATTATGGGCACCTGGGATCATGAAGCCACACAAAAACCAGCCAACCAGAAGGACAAATGGCGGTCAATAGGGACCAGGAACACCAGGGGCTACCCACACCACCAAGCCCGTACCCGCTGGCTACCAACGGACATGGAGAAAATGGACCTAACGCCGGCAGGAACAGAGGTAACGGACCTAACGCCGGCAGGAACAGAGGTAATGGACCTAACGCCGGCAGGAACAGAGGTAACGGACCTAACGCCGGCAGGAACAGAGGAAACGGACCAAACCTCTGACAAGGTTATGACTGAGCCCTGGACCCAATGAACAGTGCTGAAAATGTGTCACTGCTGAACCCAGGCCAGAGCAGGTTCAATTACCCAATAAGTAAAGCAGGGGCAGGTGTGACAGTGTATCAGACAAAATCATTCTGTCATATGGATCAGTTATTTTTTATGTATGTTGTGTTTAGTTGTGAAACTATAGGCCTACCCTAAACAAGTTAGTCTTATTTAAAATGGTGAAAGCTGTATTATTAAATAATAATAATAATAAAAAAAAATTCTTACATCACATTGTTTTAGAATGTGACTATTGCATGTGTGCTTATTGCCATGTCACGATATACATCACACCTTATCCCTCACCCTCCCACAGGGGCAAATTCTGTCCCCCCAATCACAAACTTCTTCTGATGCCATTTTCCCCGACACTGTAGACCAGGGGGGTATTCCATGAAGGAGGATTAAGGGAAAGTCTGACTTATTTCGACAAGTCAGTCTTACTTAAGTGAGAGTTCCGTTCCATCAGCATGTCTTAAATGAATCCCCGCTGAGCTACCATGGTAACTTAGGTGAGTGAACAAGTCTGCTCCGGACCAGGTTAACTGTCTTGCTTAGTTAAGCGTTGTCTCAAAGAACATCCGACGTGTGGGAATAGATTCCCAAAAGATCGTTCCGTCAGATGAAATTCCGCTCTCTCACTACTCATGTCCATCCATCCATTACCTACCGCTTGTCAAGGGTTCGGGTCGCAGGGGTAGCAGCTTCAGGAGAGATACCCAGACCTCCCTCTCACCAGCTACCTCCACCAGCTCCTCGGGGGGGACACCGAGGCGTTCCCAGGCCAGCCGAGAGATATAATCCCTCCAGCGAGTCCTGGGCCTGCCCCGGGGCCTCCTCCCTGTAGGACATGCACGGAAAACATCTCCGGGTAGCCGCCCAGGAGGCATCCGCACCAGGTGTCCAAACCACCTCAACTGGCTCCTTTCGACGTGGAGAAGCAGCGGTTCTACTCTGAGACCCTCCCAGATATCCGAACTTCTCACCCTACTACTCATGTCATGTAATAAATATAAGAGCCTATAAAAATCACGTCTCAGCATTCCAATTAATTCCAAAATTATTAAAATAAAAGCATACCCATATTTTTTATATGTAGGTCAAACATGAAATGCAATGACTGAAATTGAAAATAAAATCCGTTAAAATAATATGAACTGGAAGATATTTTTATATTTTGTTTAGTCACAGTCTAATTTCAAAATTTATTAGTAAAAAGAAGACAAGATACGGTTATTTGTGCAGAACATTTCACACTGATGCGACTGAATGTATTTTACGGATATCAAATAATACAGTATAACATTTTACAGTAAGAATAACACGTGAACTCAACCCAGAAGGTTCCCCATTGGCTATGGGGACCGAGCCAGGAACTTCCGCGGTGTAAGGCGACAGCATAAACCACCGTACCACCATACTAAGCACTTGAAACATTTACGTAACTTACACATTTGGTCTGCAATTCATTGCCAAGCCAACTCCCTGGCTGTGTTTATGGCCACAGTATTGCCTTTTTAGCGATTACATCTTTGTATTTTTCATACAGCTCCATCAGCAGCGTTTATTCTGCGGCGGAAAGAAACACCGCTCTCGTTTTACACACTTTCCGACTCATTTGATCGATCTATCATTCATCCATTCCTTTGGGCTTCTTAAATATCTCGGGTGTGCGCACTAAGTGAGACTATGCAAGTCTGTCTTGTATGAACCTTGATTAGTTAAAGCTGAACTGCATTAGTGGAATAACATGAGGCTAAGTTTAGAGATGGCGCTAGTTTGAGTCTGACTTTTTCAGGAAAGTCTGGCTTTCTTTAGCTACATTTATGGAATACCCCCCAGGGGTGGGCAATCTTATCCGCAAAGGGCCAGTATGTACGCTGGTTTTTAGGATAACCTTTAGGTCAGCTGTTCAAACCCAGGTGTGAGGACTCTTCAGCGAAGCAGTCCTCTAATTAGTAATCTAATTAGGGCGTTGCAGTGAAAATCCACATACACAACGGCCCTTTCTGGATAAGACTGCACACCCCTGCTGTAGATATACACTCACCGGCTACTTTATTAGGTACACCTGTGAAATTGCTTGTTGAAGCAAATACCTAATCAGCCAATCATATGTCAGAAGCCCAGGGTATAAAATCAGGCAGATACAGACCAAGAGCTACAGTTAATGTTCACATTTAGTGACTTTGAACGTGACCTGGCTGCTGGTGCCAGACAGGCTGGTATGAGTATTTCAGAAAGTGCTGATCTACCAGGACTTTCATGCACATTTCTAGGGTTTACAGACAATCAGCCAAAAAAGAGTAAACATCCAGTGAGGAGTGGTTCTTGGGGTGAAAATGCCTTGTTGATGGTTGAGGTCAGAGAAGAATGGCCAGACAGATTCAAGCTGATAGAAAGGCAACAGTAACTCAAATAACCACAATCATGGTATGCAGAAGAACATCTCTGAATGCACAACATGTCAAACCTTGAAGCAGATGGGCCACAGCAGCAGAAGACCATACCGGGTGCCATTCCTGTTTGCTAAAAATAGGGAGCTGAGGCTACAGCGGGCACGGACGTACCAAAACCATTAAAGATTTTCCAGTTTGTCTAGTCAGGTGCATCTCAATTTCTGCTGTGACATTCAGATGATAGGATCAGAATTTGGCATAAACAACATGAAAGCATGGATTCATCCTGCCTTGTACCAACAACTCAGGCTGCTGGTGGTGTAATGGTGAGGGGGATATTATCTTGGCACAATCTGGGCCACTTTGTACTAACCCAGCATTGTTTAAATGCCACAGCCTATCTCACTATTGTTGCTGACCGTGTCCCTCCCTTTATGACCACAGTGTACCCAGTTTATAATGGCTACTTCTAGGAGGATAACACGCTATGTCAGAAAGCCCATATAACCTCAGACTGGTTTTTTGAACATGACAATGAGGTTACTGTACTCAAAAGGACTCCGCAGTCACCAGATCTCAATCCTATAGAGTGTCTATGGGATGTGGTGGAACGGGAGAGTCGCATCATGAAGGTGCAGCCAACAAATCTGCAGCAGTTGCGTTATGCTGTCATGTCAACATGGACCAAAGTTTCAGGAATGTTTCAAGCACTTTGTTGAATCTATGTCACAAAGATTTAAGGCAGTTCTGAATGCAAAGTGGAGTCAAATCCAGTACTAGCAAGCTGTACCTAATAAAGTGTTGTAAGGACGATGACTCATATCTTTAATAAGCTGCAAGTAATGTATGTGTCAATGTCATGTCCAAATGAGCAGGAAGGAACGAAGAACAAAGAACCCCCCAAAGGCAGCCTTTTACAAGGGGAACCCCCGAGGGGGATTTTATTAAAGGGAGACAGCTCTCAGACGAGCGTTCAGACAACAATAGGTAACAATGACAGGGCTGGGGAACACATACTGTACAGGAGAGGCACATATATACACTGCAGAGGGTGTAAGGAGGCACCAGGAGCAGACAGAACAGATCATGACAGTCATTTTCATTATAAGCTTCTAAATTCTGGCTGTCCTTTTTAAAGTGGTGGTAAAGTGGTTAGGGATGTGTGATGAAAGGTATAGCATTAGCTATTAGAGTGTAACCAACATAATTATCTTGATGCATCGCTTGTTTTGAAATTCCGTTTACTGAGCACCTTTTTTGACGTAATAGATATGCAATCAATCACAGTAAACTGTATGTTTCACTGTGCGCTAACTTTTACTTGGTTCTCTCCATCTTTTAAATCGTTATTTGTTTTATCCTTCCGTGTTGTCTTCATGTTCTGTTCGCACACTCATACTGGTGCCAGGCTTGAGGTGTGACCAGAGGCGTAGCGACAGGGCAGGCAAGGCAGGTAATTGCCTGGGGCCCCAAGCAGAGAGGTG